AATTCTCTATCAGTTCACAATCAGTAAACACAACAGATGCATTTGCAGAACTTCATGATGTTTCGCGATCTTGGTACTATCGCTATGTCGAAATCTGCACTCAAGTAAAGAACACTAACTTTACCTTTTTGTATAATGTCAATAATGGATGTACTGATGACGTTGTTCAACGATCATCGTGCTTAACCAGAGAAGAATTATTATGCCAACAGCTGCATAGCGAAGAAAAGCAATATGATTTCTTCGTTTCAAGAGTGAATCAAGAAGTTTTATTCCCTTTGCAACAAGGTAAGGTCTACTGTATTATTTATTTTATAGAAAACAATCTACAATATATAATATTTTCTTTTAATTTCGTACATAGAAAGGATAGCATCACCAATTTCCCGTGCCCAAAATCCTATTCCATATAATTCTTCATTTATGATGCATAATCCACATCATCTTCACGTGACTATTCTAAAACGCGCCTTATCTCCCGACATAATTACGAGAAATCACGCGAACGAATCTCCGCTTACAAAATTTGGATTTATTACCTCTAGTCGTCGACATAGCATTTAAAAGGTTTGCTTTTTGTATCTTGGCAAGCTGGCTTTGTTAGCATGTAGATATATAGGTAGTATACGACTTATTAGTCTTCGCTTTTGCATGATTGACTTAGTTTCTTGATAAAACGACTTGTATATAAAATAGCGTAAATCAAAGATAATATTGTACTGCTGCATTAAAATCATTCCTTGTAAATATTTTTATTTAAAATATGCATTTAGTTTAATCTTATTTTTCGATGATAATTTTTTTTAGCTTAGTGTTAATCGTGCTTTACGTAGAAGTAATTTACTAGCGAAAGATTGTAAAAGTTTAAATTATGTTTGTTATGGGGATGAATTAGTAGAAGCAATGCAATTTACAACATACAAAAACAATGTAAATTGTTTGGTTTCATCCCATACACAAACCAGAGTCCACGGATTCTATGACATCTAAAATAGTACTAGCGACATCACAAAAACAAATTAAATTCGGTAAATTCGGTAGAATGTTTATTTTTATTCTATAGATATATAAAATTAAAAATAATACATTGTTGGTCAGATTTGGTTATATGGTCGTCGTGATATCACTGGCGCTACTTTAGACGCTATTAAAATTCAAAGTTCGATAGTTATTGTGTCAGCCGTAAACATTTTAAATATTGAGCAAGAATCTGTACTATTTTGATCACTTGCGTATTAATTCGAGTGTGCTCATATGCGTTATTTCACGATAAGCAAGGTTTCGCAAATTTTCTGTCAAACGGATTCATGAATACAACATTGGTTCTGGAAATCTATGAACTTTTCTAGTGACAAATTAAACGCATAAACAACAGTAATTATAATAATTAGTGTACAATTATTATTTACATAAGAATAAATACGTTATGCTACTCTTATCAAGAACAGAAAGCTTAATACACTAATTTTATTTTCATTTTTTTTCAGGTATAGAATATTAAAAAAATGTTAAGATTTTTTTGTAGCTATCTGAAGTACATTTACCTCTTTTATCTTAATATTTTTAAAATATACTACAGAATACGTATCTATCCATGTGCAATAATTTCGCATTTACCAATTTTGCCTTCAAATTCACTAATCGGAGTATCAACATGGTTAATGATATTATTAATCAACTTATCAGTACTCCGATTAGTGAACTTGAAGCAATAATCACAATCATAATTCTTGCCTATAAATTTAATCTGTATTTAAAATATTGAAAGAAAGTAAAAAATAGTCTAATGTCATCATGTTGATTATATGAAGATTTTTACTTTCAAAAAAATACTGATTTGTAATATTCAAGGGAAATTATGTCATGACGGAATCCCATAGAAAGGAGTTTCTCATATAATTTATGCGGTCAAATATAGTGACATACAATATTTTAACAACTGTTATCATCAAATCCTATTTAAAAGTTTTATTTATTCGCATTTTATTATTATTATTTTTTTGTTCTATCATTTTTTTTTTATTAGTGTTCCCTTCTAAATATCAAAAAAATATATATAAAATATAAGCTTAATTAAATAAATGGATATTGCGCAAACTTCCCCATCGCGACAACTCGTTTATAACTACAACCATGATAATATTAATTACTGTCCTAACTGTATCTCTTTATCATCTCAACTTAATCTAAAAGATTCGTTTATTATTAAACATCAAAAATTTTCCACGATAAAAAATGATCTTATAATCACACAAAGGCAATTGATTAGTGACCTGTTGAAAGAAGGGAATTATATTAAAGAAGATAATGAATTTACTTCTATGACCGAAAATGCCATTAAAGATGAAATTGAACTTGTGAAATCTATTAGAGAATG